TTAACTGCTTCTAGCCCTACTTTGGTAAGTGGATCTAAATTGGACCCAACTTAGTGCTTTAAGATAATCCATTGTGTAGACACATTAGGAATACAGTACATAGTTCTCATTTTCTAAATATAAACTGAATTAAGAAATATATAAAAAACATCCCAGACAATTGAGGTGTTGGTATGGGTTTATGTATTTATTACTGGATCTATCTCCATTTTCATTATCTCTATCTATCTATCTATCTATCTATCTATCTATCTATCTATCTATCTATCTATCATCTATCTCATCATCTTTACTAATGTAACCTATATCTTGCTTTTTCCACAAATGTTCTCTCAGGGCAGCTAACAAATTTTATTTTTTCCATCAGATATTTTGGGTTCATTACCAAGCACCCTGCTGACCACAGATTTGCATGCCATGTCTTTGTCTCGGAGGAATCCACCAAGCCACTTGCAGAGTCTGTAGGGTGAGTTGTTGGCTGTCAGTCCTCGATTTTCATTTTTCTAAGGATTTTATTTGATCAAAGGGAAAGGAGCACTGGCCTCAGATAACAGGTGTAGTATGCAGCTCTGGTGGCAGCAGTGATCACAACATACTTGCTGGGGTCAGGGATTAGTCAGTTTTCAATGCGCAATAGAGGGTAAACATACTGTAGTTTATTCAGAATTCTAATTCTGTCTTCAGTTTGCTTAGAATCCCATTGGTATGGCATGAAGACATGTTTCAGGGAGTTGCAAGGTTTGACTGGAAACCGTTTTCATTAAAGTTAATGAGTTCATAGAAATATAATCCATTTCCTGGAAAAAACCTACAGTATTGAATCAGGATATTCTTAGAAAACCAATCTAGTGTTTGAATTCTTCACCACTAAGATGTTTATTTAATGGCTCATGGAGATACTCCTGTTTTTCAATATGTAGCATTTTGCTCAGGCCCACCACAGTGTGGAGAGAGAATTCATTAAGGTTGATGCATTTTTCTGGTGCCAATTTATACATATCTGTGCCTAAATATTCTATTTGCATGAACATTAATATATGTGCATGAGGTCAGAGTTACTACAGTATGTCTGTGAAAAGTCCATTTCTGAAATGCTGTTTGTTGGAAAACAAGAGTTACTACAGATTTATGGTACTTGCTTCTCAGATATTTGGCACAAATTCTTGCATAACTTACTGTCATTTCCTGTGTAGTTGCCACATAATATGTGCAGTAAGCAGGTTATTGTGCCAGATCTTTGCAGTTCTGGGATGTGCTGTATTTAGCCTGGTTACTAAAGACTATTTTAGGGAGATCTGATTCTTTTTCCTAAATGTTTGAAAATACAGCCCTAAATAATGAAAAACTTTAAAAAGAATGTATGAAGCAAATTTGTTCTGTCTATACGCTATGATACACATCTAGCTTCTCTTCACCATAACTTTTTCTATCTCATTCTCTCTCTGTGTGTGTGTTTGTGTGTGTGTAATTACTTTTTTACAATAACAATCTTTAGTATTTAGTAAGCAATGTGTTGTCTGGGTTTACATATTTAACATTAATATTAATACAGTTTCCATTCCTACCCTTTATTGTTTTTCTAACCATTTATAAAAATTTTCCCATGTTTGGAAGTATTCTGAATCTTGTTTCCCTTTCGTTTTCAATGTGAGTTTATCCATTTGTGCACAGTCCAGGATTTTCTTAATTATATCTTCTTCAGATAATATTTCTTCATTTTTCCAATATTGAGAAAATGTAATTCTCGTTGCTGTTAATACATGTAATGTTATGTATACACATTCTTTATCATAGTTTTCTGAAATTATACTTAAAAGAAATAATTCTGGTTTATAGTCTACATGTGTTCCTGTTATCTTCTCTAGCCACCTATGTATTTTTGACCAAAAGTTCTTTGCTTTAGGGCATGTCCACCAAAGATGGTAGTACATGCTTGGATTTTGTCTACATTTCCAACAATTGCCAGACATATTTTTAAACATTTTTGCTAGTCTTGCAGGTGGTAAGTGCCATCTAAAGAACATTTTGTATAAATTTTCTTTATAAGTAGCTGCCCTTGTTATTTTATAGTTTCTTTCCCATACGTTTTGCCATTTTTCTAACTCTACATTGTGCCCAAAAATGTTTGCCCAATTTATCATTGTTTCTTTAACTTGTTCATCTTCCATCTTTAAATTTAACAGAAAACTGTACAATTTCTTAATCAATTTATCATCTGAGGACAATAGTATCTGATCAAACGCTGTCTGATCTTTGTAAAAACCATAAGTTTTGCATCTTTCTTGTATCTCATTTGCATTTGCAAATGAGGCTGCCATGATAGCTCTATGCCTTGTTCTTCTAGTTCTTGTTTAGTTCCCATCAGTGTTCAAAATATCTTTCTCTCTCTCATTCTTTTGCAGGAAGGCTTTCCATCAGTTCTACAAAGAATGTGTGGAATATACGTGCCCCACAGAGGATATCTATCTAGAGTAGGGGCAGGCCCAGCCCCCTCTTCGTGTATAGACAAGGGCCATTTCCCCATTGTGCATGGACAAGCTGCTTCAAGACTGAAGGAGGAAGAGGCATGGGAGCAGTTTCCCTCCATATGCAGAGCCCCTCCTCTTTCAGTACACCTCCTTTCCTTGGGCAGGGGGTTTGGGGAGTTGAGAATGGGTGGGATGGGTGGCAAAACATGGGGATTACTATTTTTAAAGAAATACATTCTCTTTTTTCTTTATTCAAAGAAAAATGCCACCGGTGAAAGCAGTTGCTGCCCCCACACATCTGGATGAGCAAGCAAAGCACTGGCCCGAGAACAGGCAGGGTTGAATATCCCATGTGTTTGGCATAGGAGGGGGCTGGTTTGGTGCCTGGGCAAAGAAACTCCTCCACACTTTTGTGGGTTCCTGCTATGTGCTGGAGACTGCTGTAGTCTGCCACATATTCCACATTTAACACTTGCTGTTTAATAGGACAGGAATGCTGGACTTCCACCGAGAAAATTGAATCGTTGATATGAGATATCAGCATTAGATAAAAGATAACAGAAATGATAAATCAAAATCTTGGATGGGAACGGGTGTGGAAGCTAAGCAAAAGATTTCTGACAAGTCCCAGTAAACAGAAATCCACTTTTTATTTGACCTCCAATGTCTGTAAAAGTAATCTAGGATTACTGTACTGGATTCACTTTGGCACTTGGACTTTGAAAGAGGGAGAGTTTGAGAATTCTGGAATTATAGTCCCAATGTATCTTGTGGATGCCAGGTTGTGGGAGGCTGAAGGTGAAAACTAGAAAGAACCATTGTACTCCTATCTGATATAGAAAAATCCCTCTGTTGCAACTCTGATTGTGCTATCCCTTTTCCTTTATCTATCTGCAAATCCTAAATTCAAAGGGATGGGAGTAATCTGGATACTGCAGTGAACCGAGAGCCGTATATCTGATTCATCCATATTAGGGGGCTCGGAGATGCTCCAGCCATTAAGCACAATGCTGAATCAGGAAACAGTAGTGAGGTCCTGTGGAGAGGCAAAACCTACAGGACTAGCATGGGTAACAAGGAGCCAAGAGCTGCAGAAAGGCGTGCCTTTGCCTTCCTCCCCTGCCTACAAGCCCGTTTTCCAGGCAGAGGGCTCTGTGCTTCTGCTGGATCTGCTCTGATGACAACAATGATTAAACATTGATGTTTCAAAGGAATGGTGTGGCTTTTGTGTTATGAGGTCTTTTAACAACTGTTTGAAGCCCTTAGGATCGAATTGCAGGAGCCCACGTAGATGCTACAATAGATAGCATTGTATAACGTACCCATCCACCCACGTTTGAGAAGAAAATTAAGAGAATTCTTACGTGCTTGCAATTTTCAGAATTTTATGTTGTATACCTTGCAGAATCATTTTATATTAGAGTCCGGTTTGGCTTGTATAGAATGGTCATTCAGGGGCATATGAAGCAACTTCCTTTTTGCATTTTTCCCCCCTTCATTTATTTTTCAAGATTCATTTCCTGCATCTCCACTAGGGGGCTTACATAGAAGCCCCTGTGAGCCAAGTTGTCTGTATTTTTTATTGTTATGTATAATGTGGAGGGCCTGTGTTTTTGTGTGTTGGAGGCTACCATTATGTTCTACCATTTCAGGGTCAACAGAAATCTGCTTCAATAGCTGTATCCTCACATTCAGGGTAGGCAACCTTGGCTCTTCTATGACTCATGGACTTCAACTCCCAGAACTCCTGAGTCAGTATAGCTTACTCAGAAATTCTGGGAGTTGAAGTCCATGAGTCATAAAAGAGACGAAGTTGCCTACCTTAAAGCAGGGCTTTTCAACCACTGGTATGGGTACCACCTGTGGTACGTTGGCACCTAGCAGATGGTACGCGACCATCCTAGAAAAGTGGTAGTGGGGGAGGGGAATGAGCTGACCCGGTGGCAGCACCGCACAAGCCTGAGCAAGAGATGGCTGGAGCTGCAAGGCTGTCAGGGCTCAGCGGAAGCACCAGGATCAATGCCGCTTTCCAGCTGATCGGCGCTTCTTCAGGACTGTCAGGCTCAGTGGAAGCGCCAGGATCAGCGCCAGGCTCCAGCTGGAACTCAGCGCTGATCCTGAGCCCAGAAGAAGCGCCAATCAGCTGGAATGTTGCAGCATCTCCAGGGTCTTGTGATTTACATTCAGATGCTTGGCAACTGATTCATATTTATGACGGTCATAGTGTCCCAGGGTCATGTGAAGTGACCAAAACCTGCTGCAACCACCCAGCAGATTGGGGGAATAAAAACCAAACACCCCCCCACCCCACTCCCACTGCCAATCCTCAACAGAAATGCTCACAACAATGGAAACCTCAGTCAGGAGGAAGAGCGCAGGCAGGCAGGTGTCTTGCTCGGCTGTAGCTTGGGGGGAGCACTTTTTCAGTGCCATTGTAACTTCGAACAGTCACTAAGCGAACTGTTGTAAGTCGAGGACTACCTGTACTTTATTACTTTTTTCCTTTTTTTTTTTTTGGGTCATCAAGTTTTTGACACCTTGCTAGGCGACTTGGATGTTGCCATATCCTAAAAGTGGTACAATGGGTGAAAAGACTGAAAAGCCCTGCCTTAAAGCACAAGTATAGAAACCAGGAGACTTGAGAGTTCTAGCCCCGCTTAGGCATAAAAACCAGACCAGTCATTCTCAGCTCAACCCATCTCACGAGATTGTTGTGAGGAAAATAGGAGGAAGGAGTATTATGTATCATTGCCCCCTTGAGTTATTTATAAAAAAATAAAAAATGGGATAAAAATAAAGGCTTTTGAGATATTGGAACTTAGGAACCTGAATCAGCTTTACAACCAATGCCTTTCTCTAATGCCAGCCGTTATTTCAGCCAAATAAGTAATTACCTACTAAGCAGGCATGCTCTAAAATGCTCTTAGAGGGTTTTGGATCTGTACTTTTACTAAATATTACATAAATGAATGGCACTTCACAGACAGAAAGGCTTTTGAGAGCTAGATCTATTTAATAATTGTTGAAATTGTAAACTATAAAATCTGCTCATTAGTTTATACAAATTAGAGGTATGTGAGGTATAATCCAAAGACAGAATCACTGGAAAGGTGACAGAGAGGTAAAAATAGTCATGGCACTAAAAACTATATTGGACACTTATTTTTCACTACACAGCTTCAACACTGGCATTGGAAGTCTTATCTCCAGCCAATAGCCAAAAGTTTCCAAATATTATTTAGCATAGTTGGAATTAAAAGCATGAAAGAAAAGCTAAGAATTTACAAATGCCAATCTCACCTTAAAACATTGTGCTTAGGGACACATAGAAAATACAGAGCTGCATGGATAGTTTCTAGAATAGTGTGGAGTAACAGGATGGGGCTTATTCCTCTGTGCATTTGGCTGTTTTATCAAGCAAGACTATGCAAAACAGGATGTTTCTCTTGTCATTTTTCAAAGGAGGTCATCGTAATAATACTCTTCAAAATTTGGTTCATCCCTCTTGCTTTTATGTGTTCTGTGCAATGTTTCTGACTCCTTACGCCGTTTCCGTATCTGGAACTTGGGATGGCGTGGTTTAAGGCCATAATCTGTGAAAACACAACCTCGTGAAATACTGCAGGTAGTAGGAATGGGAAATATTATTATGATGGTTATACATCCCCAGAGTGCCCACAAGCAGGCACTAGGTCACACATGTGTAGACCCCATTTCAACCCTCTTTTGGCTACAAGGGAGAAACTAACTTCCATGGCTACTTCCTTTTGTAATTGATTGGGTGACCGGTCAACTGACTGATCTGGAGAGTGCAAAGCCTTGTAAGTAACAAGTCCATTAAGGCACGCATTGGAAAGTGTAATTGGAAGGACTTTGTTCTTGCATTTTTGTAGCTTGCCTGACAGGAAATTCTTTTCCCAGGCAAATCCTGTCTTCTTGCTTCCTTACTTCATGTTATGTTCATAGGGTATTGAACTCAAACTCTCAAACTGCCCTCAGACGTGGTTGTATCTTGGCTGCACATATCTACTAGAATAGATGGTACCGAAGAGATATGATCAAGGGAAGAGAGAAAATCCCTCTTTGTTGCCACTTGAGATTGATGCATTAAATTAAGAGCCGAGGTGGCGCAGCAGTTAGAGTGCAGTACTGCAGGCCACTTTAGCTGACTGTGTTCAGCAGGTCAGCGGTTCAAATCTCACCGGCTCAAGGTTGACTCAGCCTTCCGTCCTTCCGAGGTAGGTAAAATGAGGACCCATATTGTTGGGGGCAATGTAAAATATATATACATTGCTTACTGGTGTACACCACTTAGAGAGTGCTTGCACTTAAAGCGGTATATAAGTCTCATAAATAAATAAATAAATAAATAAATAAATAAATAAATAGTTGGCTGGTTGAATTCCAATTTCAAAGAGAAAAGGAAAAAAAAAGACAAACTGTAGCGCACTCAGTGTTCCACATGCCAATTGGAGGTCACATTTTCATGTGTATTTAAAGCAGTGTTTAGCTCAGCAACTTTAAGAGTGTGGACTTCCAGAATTCCCCCAGCCAACATGGAAATAGAAGCTCACACTTTTTAAAGTTGCTAAGATTGGGAGATACAGGGTAAAAACTGTATGGACAGTAGCATAACACAGATCTGTCCCTAATGTGGAGAATGGGCACATTGTGGGGACAATAGCATGATTTCCTGAGGTTCTAGGACAGGAGGGGGAGGGGTGCAGCAAAACAAGTTGTGTGAATGTGGCCCCCTGCCTAGGACAGCATAGTTACCCTTAGCTGCCCTGGGGTTAATGCAGTGGAGATGTACGGTAGCAATGTGCCTTTACCCAGCCATGCCTGATGCCAGGAAATAGGAACTAAAGTTAATACGTGCATACCATCCACTAAGCCAAAATGTTTCTGCTGAAGCTCCAAGGGCGCGATGAAGTCTTCTGGGACAGATCGACTGAATCTGCCGTAGGAGAGCATAAGATCAGGAAGGGCTATGATTACTGCTTTAAAGCCCCTAAAGTGTTTGTTTAAAAAAAACAAATCAATGCAGGGCAATTTCCTCATTATTTCTTTTGACAACTCTCATGGGCAGATAACCAAGCGATTAAATCCTGAATTGCTTTTTTAACAGTAGCTATCATAAATCCTCCATAACCACATCATATCTTGAATCCCTAAACATATTAAAATGCTGTAAAATCCAATTAATGGATCGTCAATAAATTTCATTTACATATTTCAACCTTAATTCTCTTCATATTCGTATTAGATGTAGAGTCTGAAGGAGCAAATCCTCCAAGGAAATCCTCCCATACCCCATCAGAGGAGTGCCTGGTTGCAGATTTGCAGGACTTGCAAATCTGATGTACTCCGTAGTGTGGAATCACACTGGCTCTTTCAATTTAAGTGTTTTATTTGTTGCAGGTGCCCATTGGAATGCACTTTTCTTGCAACTGAATGCGACTAAAAGAATCCTGCATATATAATTAATGAATGGAACTAATTTGTTTTTAATAATCCTTAAGTTTTATGGATAATCCTCACAAATGAAATTATTTCTACTTTTTAAAATATGAATTTAATGTCTAAGAATATTTATGCAGGTCCTGTAACTTTTTCTTTTCTATTCTAATCTCTCCCTTAATAATCCCAAAAGACAAAATACGTAGTCCATGGTCTAAATTGCTCTAGGAAAATGTGTTTCCTTCAGATTTTATACTCTATGATTGTATCAGTTCAAATATCACTTGTTAGTAAAAAAAAAAAAATTACCAAGTGCCATTTTCTACACAATACAGAGTAATTAAAAGAGAGTTCTTGTGTGCAAGATCACAGTGTCACAGATATAATGAAATATGAAAATAAAGTGGGGGAAAAAAAACAAATACCAGTAGTGAACAAATGATATGTTTTGCCCTGAAATATGCCGGTAACTATATAAAATTTATTTATTAAAGACAAAACTGCATGTTGGGTAATGAGCATTTTATATTATCTGTGGTTGTCACTATCTCTCACATCTCTCCTTGAGATATGCAATTATACAGTGACATCATGTAATTGCAACTTTCTGAGGTAAAGTCTTATCTCAAGGTGTCGGGTAGGAAAAAAAATACCAAAAAGCTCCACAAAAAATCCACCACTGAAACTTAACAGGCATATCATGCCTCACTCCAGTCAGATATCTGGTGTTTTAGTCTTTTCTGACAAAACAGTGGTTAATTTCAATTAATTAAATAATATTGGAATTCATCCCTCAGCTTTTCCTGAAAGTGAGCTTAAGCATATACTGAACTTGCAAACTTCTGTCAATGCTAAAAAGAATAAAATGTTCCTTAAAATGTGTATGGAGAAGTTGGCACCAGTATGTGATTTTTCAAGCCAGGTGACCCATCAATGCTCCTTTCCCATCGTAACTATGAACATATTAGGTACACAGGATCAGTACTGAGGCATGAAGCTGTAACTGTTACCTTTGGAGACTTGGCGCAGGCAGTAATTTCTGCATCAGAAGTAACATGATCAAAAGTCCCATCTGGCCTACAAAGCCAAGCCCAACTTGATATATCTTTCTCTCCTTGGCAGAACCGAAGGCAGCATTCAAAGTCTATGGTGTTGTCACAAAGGTATAGAATGCAGGATAGTGCTGAATTCCATGGACTGGGCAGTGAACATAGGTCACTTTAAGAACAAAAAGCAGGCATCCGCTCCCACACAAACAAAACCCCATACTGCTTCAGCTGGTTGGCTGAAGTCCACTTTAGAAAAAGATACTTTGCTCCATCTGCCATAGTTGCCCATCCTTATTGCCATTAATTGTTTGATCTTCACAACTTTTGTTTGATTAGGGTACCCTCTGACCCTCCTCCCTTTTCCATCCATAAAGCTCTTTGAAAGGCTTCAGAGTTAAGGCTTCTCAACTTTTAAAGAAATACTCTTGTCAATTTCACAGCCTCAGACCTATGAAAGAGCAAGAAGTTCTGTAAACAAAGATTTACCATAATGTCATGGTCAGCCTGTGCAAGGTGATACCTACTGAATCCTTCTCCCCAGTAGTTAATGGCACAAGCACCATAAACAATTCTGAACCATATATGAATATTTGTAACTCAACAGTTTTCAGAATTTGTCTATAATCCAGCATTACTCTTGCATTTCTGTCCCACAGTCAGCTATAATGTGCTTTAATTACTCCTGTACATGACATCTGTTTAAAATGGTACCTGAATACCACTTTATTTAGGAGCAAAGGACATTTCTTCCCAAGAAGGCAGAAGACATCTTCACTGTTGTTTGCTCACACTGAGATGTTCAAGTACAGAATTCAACAAATGCCCAAATAAATGAGCAAAAAAAGGATCAGATAAAATGACTGAAAGTTCAAGGTAATTTGGATAATCTTACATCACAGCAATATCCCTTAAAATCACTGAATCTGTGGTACATTAGCAAAAGTGGTTTTCACAAAATCTATAAGAACCAAGTAGGAATACAATTCCACAACATGAACAGAAGGAGAGGAACAGTCAGAGCAACTAAAATATTTGACAGCTCCTTGCTAGGGTACTCAGTATAATTCATTTAACCTAAGCTTCATCTCCGGGGTCCCATTACATTTCATTTACAGCAAACCTAACAACCAATTGGTTGCTTGAACAATTTGCCAAAGCCTTTCACCTCATTAACTCACCCAGAGTTGTCCTATTGGGAAGATGGGCAGCTAATTAATTAATTAATTACATTTCTTTCAGTTCCCCAGACTTTGGCTTTTCTGCAGGGCCTTGTAACACATGAGATAGGAACATAATATTTTTAAGGGGAAGAATAAATTCCCTTATAAGGCAACATTTTAAGGGCAGAGAAAGAGAAAAAAGCCATAGTTCCAGTTGAGTAGTACAAGCTCCAGCTGACTGGCATGTGGACCACTATTGTCAGACCCAGAGTGATACCTACCTGCCAATATCCCTATGTCCGGCGTTGACTGTTACGACGGGTGATCCAGGCACTCCGTCGATCTCGATGGCGTCGTGAGCTACACCGCCAACGCTGTTACAAGATTGTTACTGGCGCCTCTACAGCGGCAGGCAAGCGGACCATGTGACCACCTAACATGGATAGCAGACGTTCGGACAACCGCTACGCATTGCCGCGAGTGAGAGGGGCTGAATTAGGGAAGCGTACTTTGTTATAGTTTTGGCTGGGACGCTGGGTCTGACAGGTTTAGACGCTGGGATAGCAGGAGAATGGTGTGAATGCAACACTTGGACTCGATGTAATAATGGATTTACATGCTGGTTGGGCTGGACGTGGTGTGGGTGGACGTGGCTGGGCGTAGCACGGGTGGAATCTCGTTATGAGTGGTAATTGGGGTGTGTACTCTGGGCGTGGTGGTGTGGTGTATTTAGAGCGCTGGAGCAAGGTCCCTCCCAGTGCTAACTTCGTTTTCAACATAGTGAATAAAACTTGTTGGATACTGCAACGTTCCTGTTTCTTGGCTTTCCTGAAGCACAGTTAGGACGTTCTGTCAACTATGATACTGAGGGAAAAACACAGAATATACTTAGCTGCTATTTAAGCTGGTCAAAAGGGGAGTCTATTCTTTTCAATCACAACCATATGTTGGACCGTAGAAGAGTGTGTCTCTTAATCAAGAAAAACGGAGTGAGGGAGACAACCCTCCTTGTGCAGCAAAAGGCACACTGGTTTGCATAAAGACTGGCAACAACTTGTTGAACGCACAGAGTTCAAAAGATGAGGCAAGGGCGGGCTTTTGCCAAGTTTTCATTTCCTTCATTTGTTCGTAAATGAAACAATACAATCAATTCAACATTTCACTCATTTGTCCGTCTCCTAGCATTGCTTTGAAATTCTTCTGCTTCCCATCGGTTTAATTCCTGCAGTTCACGACTGAGCATTCAAGAGACCAGACCAATTAGCCCAAAGGTACCGCAGTCCCCTGGCTTTATTAATCCACATTAATGTACAAAATGCTTACAAAAAGAGTTCTGCATCCCTCCCAACCCAAGTCCCATGCTTTGAAACCAGTTATTACCAAAGAGGAAAGAAACAGCATACATATTTTAAGCCGTCTTTGTAGCACTTACAGGAAGGCATTTTTTTTTAAAAAAAAAAAGTCAGAAGAAGCCTTATTCTTCTCCCTAAAACCATTAATACAAGTCATAGAGAGATGTGCTGCTGCCCCTTTTCTTCCCCCAAGTCTCATGATTGTTTTCCTCCATATAAAGTCACTCTGTCAGCACAAGCTTTCAGCTCGAATCTTCTCTGGGTTGTATAGTAGTTCAAGCTGAAGCCAGATCAGCCCCAATTATAGAAATAAATTTTCTGCCAGGCTGGCAAGTAATCCATCAAAGGTCCTGAAATTGAAGGAAATAAAGAGGGAGAGAAATTTTAAAGCAGCCAGTTGCTGACTGAATTCCCAAAATTTGCTGTTCGTGATGCCCTTCCCTCCCAGAGCCTTTAAATTATCCTGTCGAGAAAAAAATCATCTGATTTTTATGTTTAGCTAAGAGCCTTGACAATAGGGAAAAAAGAGGGCAAACTGAAATGAGTTGACCATGTACTAAATACACAAGATCACTTCTTAACCCCCTAAATTAGTCTGTACAGCAGGCTGGCAGGTGATGTGATAGGAATGTCAAGAAAGTCATAAATCCCTACCAGTTTCTAGGTTCCTATTACTCAGCCTGATTTTTTTAAAAAAGTAATAGCTTTACAGGAGAGTGGGTGAATGTAATGCACTGATCTTATTCACATATGTATCTGCATTTCTAGATATTGCCCAGAATATTTCAGATGCTAGACAATGTTTCTCAACCTTGACAATTTTAAGCCATGTGGACTTCAACTCCCAGAATTCCACAGCCAGCAATGATAGCTGTGGAATTCTGGGAGATGAGGTCCACATGCCTTAAAATTGTCAAGGTTGAGAAACACTGTGCTAGATCCATAACATTTGACCCCCCTGGTTGCAGATATGTTAACAAAATAATGGCAGAGAAGGTTTTGCACATAGCAGGCATCTTCCACTAAGCAAGCCTAATAAAACAAGTCCAATGTCTCAGTGTCAACATAACTAAGTGAGCAGCCAATTAGAGATTCTGAGGAGAATTTCAAATTCCTCAGTGGCAATGTCAAACAAGCTCAACTTTTCCAACTTTGCCTTCATCTATAGTCATTTCAACTCCCCCTCGTGGAATTATACAGAGATTCTTCAGACAATCATACAAAGAAGATGGGACTGCATCCTCATGATTTCCTTCACTGATGAAAACTATCTGTGAAAAAAAAAACAAACCTCGCAGGCTTCTACTTACGAGTCACTAGGCCAACGCCAGGAACATAATCCGCCAACAAGCGCAGAAGAAAGAGGATCCTGCCCCTACAAAGGCATATGGGGGGGGGGGGGAAGAAGGAAAAGAGGTTAGTGACTTCTTTTCCAACAACAAATGCTCTCTTGAAACCACAGCAAGGTTACAGATTTCACAGGCCTTTACATTTCTGCCTTCTCAAACCATGGCTGTCTAAAATAATAAGTGCTTGTGCAAGACCCCCATGAAGTATAATGTGCTAATAATAACATCAGTAGCTACTAGTAGCTCAAGCCATAGTGACTCCAGGAATAGATCTTAGAATAGCCTTCTATTCTCTAAGGACAAATCTGGGGACTCTGCCATGAGCAAAGGGACTTTCTGAAGCAGAGATGGTTCCGGTTTGCCTTGAGACAAAAACAGAAGTGTTGGTTTTGAGAGACTCTTAAGATGCCTAAAAAGCCACTTTTGTGCTTGGCAGCAGGAAAAAAATTTTGGAGGCTAGTGTTGGAGGAAAGAGTTGAAGTGCCAAGGAATAGGGAGGATGGAGCTTTTCTTGGTGCATCTGGCATCTGACTCTCTGATGAGATGCAGATGGATGCTCCTTATACCTGGCAATGGCAGAGGAAGCAGCTAGGTGAATGCACTGTCTTTAGCAAAGGCTGCCCAAAGTGGGGAGCTTGGGGCCAGACCCTGAGAAGGCACCCAAGGATGGCCTCCTTCCTTCTCTCTTCTCCAGAGTGAGAATTCTATAGATATAGTGCTCTTTTCTTAACTGGCTTCTAATGTTTCTGGCCATCCAAAAACGTATGATCTCAATTTGACTTAGGCAGAAATTGTTGTCCTGTATATTTACTTATATAAGTAGTCAGGAGGACATTTGTTTCTGCAGAAGCTGGCAGACTTACTCAGAGTATCTGTCATAAAAGGGGGATCTTAGTAGATAATATAGTAGCAGGACAGTCCGGCGTTTCAGCTCCATTCGTTCACGTTTGTTGAGATCTTTCTTTTCACTCAGTAAACTCAAGCTATAGGGAGGAAAATACAAGGAGATTTAAAGGTATTTTATATGATTGTGGGCATTCTCACAATCATATTGCAATTACTTTCAGTTTTTCAGAGAGAAAAACGTCTCTTCCATTCCCAGTTGACAGCTTCAGAGCAACAAGACCACAGCCTTGCTGTCTGATCCAAAGCATTCCTTTTAATTTTCTGTTTGCTATTTGTAGATTTTGAGGATACGTTTTAATCGTAAAAGTTTCAGAACTTCAGACACTTTCAACCTTCTCAAAAATATAAAAAGAAACTACTACTACAAAAAAAAGAAAAGCAGTATTTAGTTTTCACCCTATCTGCATTTAGAAGAGCAGCTAAACAGCATGTCCTTCATCAAACTTCTAATTTTTAAGTTTAAAATTAACTTTGAAAAAGGTTTACATCTGTATTTGGTTTAGCTACTTTGGGTACTTGCTTGAAAAGAAGAGCAGGATTTAAACTGAATAAACAAAGTTCTCC